GGGTCACCAGAGCTAGAGATGACCTCAGCCACAGCATCATAACCTTTTGGTCCTAAATAAGATTACACAAAAAGAGGGGAAACATTTTCAGATTTGCTTGTAAAGTTATATATACTCCTCAACACATCAGCCATATCAGTAAAATGACAACTAAACTACAAATACAGGTGACACTTTATTATATTGTTCAACTGCAGTGTTAGAGTTATATGCTGGATGTAATCAGATACAGTCAGATACAGAAATTAAAGGGATAGTTCACCCAAAAATGAAAATTATCCCATGATTTACTCACCCTGAAACCATCCTAGGTGTATATGATATTCTTCTATCAGATGAATACAATCAGAGTTATATTAAAACATGTCCTGGCTCTTAATGACAGTGAATGGGTGTCTGTCCATGTCCATTGAAGTACATCTATTCATTAAAGTGCTCGACATGGCTCTGAAGGCCGTTTGAAGTGAACCGATGTGTTTGTGTAAGAATATTTGAAACTTAACGACTAAAATAACTAGCTTCCGGGAGACGTCCGCTTGCATCAATTTATGCACAAAAGAGCAACATTTGAACTTGACGCACAACGTAATTGACGCCTCGGTTTAAACAAACAGGGCTGGCCAACTGCGTTCGTCATTACTTGTGCGTCAAGTTCAAGGGTTCCTCTTTTGCCGTAAATCGATGCGTAAGGCCGCTAACACCGATTGTATTCGTCTGAAAGAAGAATGTCATATACACCTTTAAATCACCTTCCTTTCCCATTCTGACATTAGTTTGGAGTTCAGGAGATTGACCAGGACCACACCCATAAATGCATCGAAGCAACTCTCATGTGTTTGGTTGATTACATAATTGCATTAATGAGAAATTGATCAGGTGTTCCTAATAATCCTTTCGGTGAGTATGTATGTATATATATATATATATATATATATATATATATATATATATACACACACACAACAAACTGACTGCAATGGCTTCTTTTGTAATATGTTAATATCCCACTATATAAAAAAATCACCTTTAATTCCAGGAGATCCTTTACAACCTTTTAATCCAGGAAGCCCAATTGGACCACAATTTCCTTTTTGGCCTATAATGCAAGTAAAATAAAATGAATATTTATCTACCAGTCAATCTATTTCACAAATTCAAGATTTATTTACATTTTCTTAAATTCCAATTTAATTAAGATTTCTTACCAACTGGTCCAACACAACCCAATGGCCCCATATTTCCTTTCAGTCCCTTGAAACCAGGATATCCATCCCTCCCCTGAAAATATTACAGTTTATCACAGGTCTGGATCTAACAAACAAACTCCAAAATGTATTCAAAAACTTCAAAAATTCTATGAGAATCAGATTTACATCAGTGAAGGCCCTTGGAAAGCGCAGCTTTGTATGATGCTTTGACATAATTGCCACTGAAACAGGAAGCTAAGGCGGGACATAATGAATGGCTCCTACCCCTTTTCAAATAGGCAATTTCGCAATCCATTTTAGGGGAAGTGAGAGACTATATGTTTCGAATCCTTATATCTCCTAAATGCAAATTTTTGTATTTTGTATCTCATTGTTTTGGAACACACCAGCTTATTCATAACGGTAAGGCTAACATATTCATACTAAAAGCTTTAGGGGGCCTTTAATTATTAAATAAATCTAAAACAAAAAGTCAAACTATTAAAATTATTATTATTGGTAATTGAAATAAATATGTAATAAAATATAAATATTAGATGAACTTGAAATTGCCTTGGCAACTAACTGAAACAAATGAAAATATAAAAATAAAACCCAATTCAAATTATTAACAATATTAAAACACTATAATAGTATGTAAATAAATAATACTAAAATAACACAGATTTTAAAATATTCACATTTTCATTTTTAAATAATAACTATAAATGTGAAAATGCTAACAATAATTATTAGGGAATATTTCTTCCTGGTTCTGCAGACTTAAATCTAAAGATCTAAATATAAACAAACATCATAAAGGCCAACAGTATATCAATAAATAAATTCATGGAGATCTAGTTGAGCACTTACTGGTTCACCAAGAACACCTCGATCACCAGCACAACCGGGTCGCCCCACAAGTCCCCTGGGCCCGTCGCTGCCTTTATCACCCTTTAGGCCTGGACCGGGGTCACCAGGAGGACCATATGGTCCTCTGAGACCTGTATTTAAAATACACAGAAACAACAGAAGATATGTGATCAGTAATTAATAGCAGGTTGAGAACAGACAGTATCAGGTTGCTAAACACTAAGGGCCCTATTTTAACGATCTGAAATGCAAGTACCAAGCACGAAGCGCAAGTAACTTTGTGGGTGGGTCTTAGGCGCTGTTGCTATTTTACCGGCGGGATAAATGACTCTTGCGCCCGGCACAAGTTTGAAAGGAGTTGGTCTGAAGTAGCCTCATTATTCAAGAAGTCAAGTCAAGAATCACTTTATTCGCCAAATGCATCAGCAGATACACAGGAATTTGATATGGCCATCAGTTACACACAAACTCACACACAAACATGTCTAAAAAAAAACAAAAAAAAAAAAAACAATAATAATAATAAAATAGTCAGAATAGGGCTAATTCAGCTATTTAATAGGGAAATGGCGTGGAATTCATAGGTGTGGTTTGGGCGTAACATGAAATAAACCAATCAGAGCTTCATTCATAAGAGCAGGTGGGCATGTTGCATGACGGACTGTTATTATGACGGCGGGTTTACCAGGCACGCGCAAGGAGCTGTTCACAGCCGATGAGGGCCTGTGGGCCAGTTGTGGCCCAGTGCGTCCGTGCCCAATAAAACTGGCAATGGGACGAGTCCAGGGAGGCAAACAGATCTATCTGTGCGGCCCCGAAGTGGTCCCATATCAGCTGGACTGTCTGGGGATGGAGTCGCCATTCCCCCCGAGGCCATAATCTGTTGTGAGAGCTCGTCAGCGGCATGGTTGAGCAGGCCAAGGATGTAAATGGCATGAAGCGACCTCAGATGCTTCTGACTCCATAGGAGGAGGTGGCGAGCGAGTTGTGACATGCGACTGGAGCGTAGACCACCTTGACGGTTGATGTACGCAACGGTCGCAGTGTTGTCCGTGTAGACCAGTGCGTGCTTGCCGAGCAGCGTAGTCTTGAGTAATGATTAATTAGTCACAATCTGTCATGAGAGTTTGTCAGCGGCACGGTTGAGCAGGTCAGGGATGTAAACGGCAAGAAGCGACCTCAGATGCTTCTGACTCCATAGGAGGAGGTGGCGAGTGAGTTGTGACATGCGACTGGAGCGTAGACCACCTTGATGGTTGATGTACGCAACGGTCACAGTTTTGTCCGTGTAGACCAGTACATGCTTGCCAAGCAGTGTCGCCTTGAGGCGTCTCAAAGCAAGGAATACTGCTAACAACTCGAAGCAGTTGATGTGCCAATGCAGGTGGGACCCCGTTCAGGTGCCAGCTACTGCATGCCTGTTGTACGTGGCTCTGTATCAAACCTAAAGATTGGTGTCTACACATAAAAAGTCACTATCACAAAACCAGGGTTTTTAAAAGGTGCCTTTTAGTGTGTTATTGTGGTATCTAGGGTCTTTAGGTGGTTGCTATGTCATTGCTTTAGACCTACAAAATAAACCACCTCCAAGACTCTATGTTTCTATCTATTATCCACCAGGTAAAATTCTGGGTAAGTCTCCACCAGGTAAGTCTGACCACTAGCACAACATGCTTGGTAATTTGAGGTATCTTTCATGTCAGTACCAAGTATAATGGGCTAAAGGATTTAAAAGAAATGTTAACCCTTGGTTCTGTTAATATTAAGAAAGCACATTACTAATTATAAAAGATGCCTAATCACCTGGAGGGCCAGGTAATCCATTAGGTCCTCGCTCCCCTTTTGGACCACTGATACAGACACCAGGTGGCCCTGGGTACCCTTGTTGCCCCATATCTCCTGGTTTGCCTGGAGGACCAATAACTCCAGCTGGACCACAGGGACCTGGTGGCCCACATGGCCCTGGGGGTCCAGAACAGCCTTTAATACCTGAAATTAAACATACACATAAAGTGTTAGCATGGATAAGTGATTAATATTTTTCACTTTAGAAGGGTAGGATTTCTAATCGTGGACTTACCTTTCTCACCCTTGATGCCAGGTGGGCCAGGATCCCCTTGCTTAGTGCCTAAAACAACAAAATAAAGAATGATTAATAAGAATATTCCTTTATGTGAATGTGTGTGTTTGTGACATCTTACACCCTCTATCTCCTTTATCTCCAGCAGATCCTGGAATGCCATCTCTGCCCTGAGCTCCTCGATATCCTGAAGACCCAGGGTCTCCAGCTGAACCAGGAACACCTTAATAAACAGAGATATATGACTGAAAAAAACAAAAACAAACCAGTAGTGTGATTTCATCATGTTTTACAGAATATGTATTATTGGTGTTATATGTAAGTTACAAATATACGTAACAGAAGGGGATAATTTAATGCTAGAATAGGATTGTACCTGGTGGACCACAGGGCCCTTCACATCCAGGTGGACCTGGAAGCCCATCTAAACCATCATCACCAGGAGCTCCTGGAGGTCCTAACAATGTGACATTGGAAAAAAGGATAATACTTCATGTGTCTTTGAGAAAGTGATGGGATGTGTATTGAGTATTGAATTAAAAGGACTAAATTTTACTGTATAAATGAATACCTGGATCTCCTGGTAATCCAGTTTCGCCTCTTTCCCCAGGAACCCCTGAGAAACCTGGGAGACCAATTTTTCCATATATACCCTTGTCACCCTTTTCCCCTCTTGCCCCTGGAATGCCTGGCTCACCCTTACAGAATAAGAAAAAGAAAGCAAGGGAGTGGGTACTGGGTTAGGGTCCTGCCTTATAGGGCAAATGCCACTTTTTTTTCAACAATGAGAATTGAACAATGTAAATTGATACCTTCTCACCAGGTAGTCCTGGAAGCCCTGGCCCAGGGGGGCTGGGTTCACCTTTGACCCCCTTTGGTCCATTTGACCCTCGGACACCAGGAGTTCCAGTCCCCCCGCGAACACCAGGTAAACCTTTTAATCCTTTCACTCCTGTGGGACAAACACACACATTTGCATATGTGAAACGGCTTATGGAAAATACATTTAAAACATCATGGTGTTGAAACAAGGGTTAGATTGACAAACGTTTAAGTACTTGCCTGGAAACCCCATAACTCCTGGATCCCCAAAGTTTCCATCAAGACCCCGATTTCCTGGAAGCCCATTATGGCCAGGGTCACCAGGATGACCTGACAAAAAAGAAGGTTTGTACATATGGACTATGTTCTAATGTGGACAGCAAGGTTTTGGATTTAAGCATCTATACCTGGTGGACCAGGTAATCCTGGAACCCCATTCTTCCCACATTGTCCATAGTTGCCTGGGAATCCTAATTCCCCTTTAGAGCCAGGTAGACCAAGAAGACCTAAAATACATGGAGGATGTTTAATATAATGTCTGAGAAGTGTTGCAATTCCATCAACAGAGTTGGGCTTCCAGAAAACGAATCGAGGAACAGACAAATTGAATGTATAGACATAAATGCTTGCATATTTAACAGAAGTGGAAACCAGATGTTGAAAGGGTCACCTGGTAGGCCAGGGTCACCAGGATCCCCTGGACACATAATATTTGATGCCAGTCCCTTTGGACCACAGGTCCCTGTGTCTCCTGGTTCTCCGGGTTCTCCTGTGTCACCAGGCACTCCATTCCTACCAATTAAACCTAATGACAGATCATAACCATCACTATAATATGTCTAATTTTACCAATATAAAAGAAAAAAAGCACCTTGAACAAAAAACCTTTGCTAGATTTGTATGTGTGTATGTTTCAACCTTTAGGTCCTGGGAGCCCTGGTGGTCCAGGATTTCCATCTACTCCAGGTAGGCCAAACATTCCAGGACTACCCTGATCTCCCTGTGTACCTGAGACAAAGAAAAAGCTTAAATTGGTTGATGTGTTTTGGAAAATACAATCTGGTCATTAATTGTTTGACCAGTCTCCATGTTCCAAAAACTTGGAAGTTGAGTACCTGGAAAGCCTGGAGAACCATCCCGACCATGGAAACCTTTTGGTCCCCGGATACCAACCAAACCAGTCTGTCCAATTTCCCCAGGTATCCCAAACACACCTTGCATACCAGGTAAACCCATTCCAGGTAATCCAGTTTCACCTTTTGGCCCCTTCAGCCCTTGCAGCCCTAAAGACAAAATATGTCACAGTGGACACCATAGTAGGGACTTGTACAAACTGGTATCTTGATAGTGACCTTTGCCATCAATTAATTAACTTCAATATCTAGTTATAAATGTTAATATCTACAAATATTGGATTTTCTTACCAGTGGGTCCATCTAGTCCTCTGAAACCTGACGGCCCTTCGTCACCCTTAGCTCCTGGCATACAACATCCTGGAACACCAGCTTCTCCTGGCAAACCATCCAGACCTAGTGCACCTGTGTGAACAGTGCAGGTGAGAGATGGACTGATATACTGTACTGTAGATGGACAGATATTTTGTGTGCATGTATAGCTGTGTATATTGCATATTCCTTAGGGAAGAATTGTGCGTGTGTAATTAAATGTTTTGGCATGGAATCCACCAACCACGGTCTCCTGGTGGTCCATCCCTTCCTCTTTGACCTCGACATCCTGATAATCCAGGAGGGCCAGAGACTCCTGGTACCCCAATAAACCCTTCATCTCCTGGCAGGCCTTTCCGACCCTTGGGCCCTGGGGAGCCGAATGTTATTTCACCCTGTGGATGGAATTCAAATTTGAATGGTAATTAAATTTATTCTGATTTAAAAAAACACAACTGTACTCATGTCGTCTCAATTAAATTATTTTTTGCTAACTTTACTTCACAATGGGGAAAACTTCATGACAAACACTTCGATGTAAAGTTCTGTCCTCATTTAGTCACCCTCATTTTGAGGACTGTTTCTTACTTTTCAGTACAACAAATGCATACAGTGACCACAGTCAAGCTTTAAAAATGACAAAAACTCAGTATAAAACATGATTAAACTGGTCCCATAAAAAAATGAACACTATATAACAAGTCTATGACCTTCGTGCCTGGCATTCCTGGTGGTCCTGGAGGGCCAGGACGGCCTACACTTCCATAACCAGGTTGACCTGGCTTGCCTTTCACACCCTTATCACCTGCAACAATGAGAATAAATTGAGATCAGAAAGGACTGGTATTATTAGAAGTCACCCATCCACATAAAACAGTCAAGGGAAAATTGGATGCAAAAACATCTTTTTTCAATCTAATTTGAAACTAATGAATGCTGTTTGTAGATTTATCAGAAACAAACAAACTTTGTTGGTTATGTTGACTTATTTTATTTCTTTAAGTTTCTTCCCACCTTTGGGACCAGTAAGTCCAGAAACTCCTGGTATTGACAGTCCTTTCTCTCCTTTTAAACCGCACAATCCCGGAAAACCTTGAACCCCAGGATAACCATCATTACCTAAAACATAAATGAATTCATGGTTATCCATTCTACATCCTGTTCTTAGTCTACTTGTCCATCTGCCAAGTCTGTTATCGCCTTTGCTTACCTGGAGGTCCTGGTAGACCAGGTGGACCAGGTAGTCCAGGCTCACCTGGGTCTCCAGGTATTGTTTGTACTGGTCCTGGAGATCCTTTCTCACCTGTTGGATGCAACTGTAATATTTAAGCCTTTCACCTGCATACCACTAGTGGTCACCTGCTTCGTAGTTTTACTACCGTTAGAAGGCCTGTGTCTGCTTTGCATTTGTATTCCATTAAAGGAATGTGCTTTTTAAGACCCCCTGTGGTGAAAATCAATTTTTTAAATGTTGTTTATATGTGGTTTTTTATTATGCTTAAAGATAAACCATGGGCAAATTCATCAGTCAAAATCATTGCTGACTATTTTCTCCTTAAAATTATAATTTACAAAAAAAAAAAAAAAAACAATTTCAAAAACACAGGACCTCTGAAGCTTGGTGTTAGTGTGAATGTGAACTTTTCTACTCAACACCCTCTACTATTCAGTAACATCCCATATGTTATCATACATTGCATCAGTTCATACCTGGTTCTCCAGGATTTCCTTGCCGGCCCACTAATCCCAAACTTCCTTTCTCTCCAGGTGTTCCTGGTTGCCCGACACCCATTGACCCTTGGCTGCCCATTGGACCTGTGCTGCCAGGGTCTCCAGAAATCCCTGGATCACCTTGGTTGCCCTTAGGCCCTGGAGGACTCTGAAAAAAGTCAGTTTCAAGTTCTGTCAACATCCAAACTTTAGAAATTGAAGGCTTTAAAGGCTTTAAAATTGGTTACACAAATTTAGACCAACATTACAGCAGTTTTCTCAAAGTTTATGGTTACAACAAGTTCTAAGTACTAACTGGGTTTCCTTTTGCTCCTGATGGTCCTTTGAAGCCTGGGGTGCCCGGCATAGCATCTTGCCCCTTTATCCCCAATGGTCCTACACCACCACAGTTTCCTTTCTGTCCTTTCTCCCCAATCTCAGATCTAATCCCTAGATCTCCTTTGGGCCCTGGAGGCCCTGGAAATCCTGGAGGACCTAAGAAACCCTGTCAAAAGATTTTAATTCACATCATAAACAATTGTTTTTGAGATTATAAAACCTATATTTGCAATACCAACTGCATAATGGGAGTGGACAAGTGATAGTTTTTGCTGAGTTATGAGGATGATGATTGGGTTTAGTGGCAGTATACAGTTAAAACTGACCAGAGGACCCGGTGGACCCTCTGGACCTTTGATGCCTCGGAATCCTTTATTGCCTTGAACTCCTCCAAGACCTGCACAAAGAAATTGAATTTGAGGTCTCTTACTGAAACTAAACCAAATTAATTAAATAAAGTGCTTTTAAAGCAGATATGCACCAATATGGATGCACCATAGGAGGTTTCTTCATAGACTGTTATAGATGTTGTAAAGATGTTACATAATGACTTCACCTGGATCTCCAGGTTCGCCTGAAACTCCAGGTGGTCCTGGAGGTCCAGGTTCAGCAGCAGAAGCAGCACAAAGTCTGCAAAGTTCTCCTTGCTCTCCTGTAATTGAATGGCAGAAAACAGCATTGTGAACAGGTGACAAGCATGTTTACTGGTTGTACTGTATGCATTAATGTAACATGCACTTTATTTAAAGGAATGTTTTAGGTCCAACTATATTGGCAACATTTGTGGCATGCCGTTTACCTTAGAAAATAATTATTATAGGGAAAGACATTGCAAATAATTAATCTAAGTTGTTTTCAGTAGTAATGAGCTTATTTAACCATTGACCGTCTCTGGTTACTCATGTAACCTTAGTTCCCTGAAGAGAACGAGACGCTGCGTGTAACTGATATGGGAATGCCCCCTGTGTGAGTGCGTTATGAAGCACGTATGAAATAAGTACAATGGCAAGACGTAATGTCATAGGCGGGCAGACGTATCGACCAGGAAACTATAAAGCATCCCAAAAACACAGGCACGTCAGCTTCTGATAAGACTGAAGCAAGTGCTCACGGGGATTCTGGGAGTATGGCATGGACGCGCAGCGTCTCGTTCCCTTCAAGGAACTAAGGTTACATGCGTAACCAGAGACGTTCCCATTCAGGGAACTTTGAGCTGCGTGTAACCGCTATGGGAACGCTAATGAATGCAAAGCTTGAATATATCTCCTATTTTCTTTAATGAAGATATAACTAGAAAAAGACAGTTTTAAAGGGATAGTTCACCCAAAAATGAAAAGTCTTTCATCATTTACTCACCCTCATGTTGTTCCAAACCTCTATGTGTTTATTTGTTCTGCTGAACACAAAGGAAGATGTTTGGAAGAATGTTTTAATCAAACAGATCTCAATCCCCATCGACCTCCATAGAAGGATCCTTTGTGTACAGCAGAACAAATACACACATAGAGGTTTGGAACAACTTGAGGGTGAGTAAACGATGATAGAATTTCCATTTTTGGGTGAACACCTTTTCAGACACTTCTTCAATGGGCTCAAACGGTGCTAGACAGAGACCTTTTAGAACAACCGCCAGGTCCCAAGTCGGCACCCTCGTGCGAACTGCTGGCCTCATCCTCAAAGTGCCACGAAGGAAGCGAGTGGAAGGAAGCAAGTGGGTGTCTCCCGAGAGAGGCTTCACTCAAAGGGATGTGGTAAGCAGATAAGGCCGCCACGTACACTCTCAGTGTGGAGTTAACTGGGGGCAGTTAACTGGGTCCAACTGGTGTTTTCCACACCAAGAGGTGAAAAGTTTCCACCTCAAGGCATATAATTTCCTCATGGCCAGAGCTCTGGAGTGGAGAATGGTCTCCACGACCTCAGTCGAGAGACCGGATTCTATGAGCTGGGCCCCCTCAGAGGCCAAGCCCACAACTTCCAAAGATCTAGGCAGGGGTGAAGTATCAACCCGCACGCCTGAGATAGAAGGTCCCTCCTGATAGGAATCTCCAAAGGAGAGGCGGCGAGGAGGGAAATTAGGTTCGCAAGCCAAACTCGGGCCGGGCAGTATGGGGCTACTGACAATAGACTGACCCCGTCCCGGCGAACCCTCTCCAGAACTCCTGGGAGCAGAGCAATTGGGAGAAATGCGTACAGGGGTGACCTCGGCCACTCCTGTACCATCGCGTCCAACCCCAGAGGGGCTGGAGGACTCAGGGAAAACCACAGTGGACAGTGCAATATTTCCCTGGATGCAAATAGGTCTACCTCGGCACGACCAGAATGTTTCCATAGGAGCTCCACCACCTCGGGATGGATTCTCCAGTCCCTGGGCCTCGGCGCCTGCCTCGACAGGATGTCTGCTCCCTGTTTTAAATACCCCGGGATATAAATCGCCCTCAATGAAAGAAGCTTCCCCTGGGACAATAGAAGGATCTGGCGAGCCAGCTTGTATAACAGCTGCGAACGCAGACACCCCTGATGGTTTATATAAGAGACCACCGATGTGTTGTCTGACCGAATAAGGGCATGGTGACCACTCCGGTCTGGAAAGAAGTGTTTCAGAGGTATAACGTTGGACGCTGCTACCATCAGACTCAGAATTCTCTGATATTTTTTTACAGTGAGTTACTGGCCTAGCTTTGGCTGTTTGACGGCTGCGAGAATTGAAGCTATATGAGCAGGAGACAGACGTGCCTGCGTCGAATCCCAAACCACGCCCAGAAAAGTGGTCCTCTGTCCTGGAGAAAGCACACTCTTCTTGATGTTGAGCCTCAACCCCAACTTTTTGACATGGGCAAGAATGACATCTCGATGCCGCACCGCCTGATGCTCCGATTGAGACAGAATCAACCAATCGTCGATATAGTATAAAATGCGGATGCCCTGGAGTCGCAGCGGAGCCAGAGCTGCATCCATACATTTTGTGAAAGTTCGGGGAGACAGTGCCTTTGTTGTGGAAGGATGGAGAAGTGGAAGTATGCGTCTTTTAGATCTATCATGTCAAAACAGTCCTCGGACCTGATTTGTGACACGATCTGCTTAAGAGTAAGCATTTTGAATTTGAGCTTCCCTACTTAGCGATTTAACAGGTGCAGATCTAAAATTGGACATAACCCCCATCCTTCTTTGGAACGATGAAATATCGGCTGTAATAACCCAACTGTCTGCTGGGAGGAAGAACTCGTTCTATCGCCCCCTTCAGCAACAAAGTTTTCACCTCCTGTTCCATAACCAGAGCCTGCTTGGGCTCCACCACTGTAGGCAGAATCCCTCGAAAGTGATACAGGTGTGATCTGAACTGAATCTTGTACCCATACTTGATAGGCTTTTTCACTCTGCCAAAAATTCTACTAAGGGTACCAGTCTCTCGAGACTATCTCTGCTGTATCCACACTTTCAACATCCAGTTCCTCAGAACTGGATAGCTGAAGTGATGGTGCCTCAGCCCAGTCGGAAGAAACCGCAGCACGTGCTTCCAAACTCGGATCTGAGGCACTGGATCTACCAGGTTAGGGCAGAGATAGGGCGGAGCCCGTCTCCATCCCCGCTGATAGATCCATCGGCGAACCTCACATTTGAATCCTCCGCTGTGCCTCAGCAGCAGCGGGACCCGAACCGAGAAGCGTACCACTGTCCTCGAAGAGGGCACGACGGGAGCGGAGCGTTTTTATTCAAATACGCTCGCAATGCTCACAATCAGCTCCCTCGAGACCTGAAAAAACACCGTGAGACACAAACACTTTGAGAAAAAAACACTTTGAGACACAGACTGATATATATTTCACACACAGTGCGCTTGCTGAAGACTCAGAAGCTGATGCGCTTGTATTTTTGGGGTGCTTTTATAGTTTCCTGGTTGATACGTCACCCCGCCATGACGTTCCATTCACCATTGGACTGATTCCATACGTGATTCATGACACACTCACGCAGGGGGCGTTCCCATAGCGGTTACACGCAGCTCGAAGTTCAGGAACCTGAAATATTTATTTTTAACATACACAATGAAAAGAGTGAATCTCACCTGGTTTTCCAGGATCTCCATATAGACCCTCAGGGCCTGTTAGGCCTTTGTTACCCTTGAGCCCTTTTGGTCCCAAGCGACTTTTGACTTCTGGGGATGCAGGAGAGGAGCACACAAACAGTGTCATGTCAAACAGTCATGCACAACAGACAAGCTTGGTTAATCGAATAAACTGAAGATGGCAGTCTTTGACAAAGTTACGTGGAGTTCCTGGAGGTCCAGGTTCACCAGGGGGTCCTCGTTCCCCTGGTTGGCCGTCACGTCCTTTGGGTCCTCTGATGTCAGGTGCAGGTTCTCCTTTTTCCCCTTTCACACCTCTAAACCCTGGGGTACCTCGTTTTCCATTAGGTCCTGTTATGGCAGTCCCTGACATATTTGAGCAAAGAGAAAGTTAACATTTGTGTATTATGTATATTTTTGTGCTTATTAAAACGAGAGAGATACATCAATTACCTGGAGGACCTGGAGGTCCAGGAAAACCATTGAAACCTTTAAAAAAGATACCAGAGATAACAACAGTTGGTTATATACTTTGGCTCAATAAAATAATAATAATTATTTTTAATTATTACATATAATGTCATTCGAAAGTTCAGAGTTAATTTTTATTTGTAAAGGAGCCGTATGCAAGATTGTGGCCAAAAATGGTACTGCAATCACTTTCAAATTACTGTAGAGCATTGTATCCCCCTACCCCTTATTATTTCAAATACCAGTTTTCTATTTTAATATATTTAAAATGTATTTCATTCCTGATGTCAAAGCTGAGTTTTCAG